AGGTTCAGGCGCAAGTATGCCCTTAATTCCCATCAAAGCATACACACCGGGGAGAAACCCTATCAGTGCTTGGAGTGTGGAAAGGGATTCTGCCAGAGCAGCGCCCTCAATTGCCATCAGAGAATCCACACAGGGGAGAAACCCTATCAGTGTCCGGAGTGCGGGAAGAGCTTCAGTCTGAAACCTTCCCTTACTCTACATTTAACCACCCACACTGGGGAGAAGCCATTTAAGTGCTCAGAGTGTGGGAAGAGCTTCAGCCGGAAGGCTTACCTCTCTTTGCATCAAAAAATACATACAGGAGAGAAACCGTTTAAATGCTTTGAGTGTGGGAAGAGCTTCAGCTTGAGACAGGCCCTCGCCTTGCATCAGAGAACCCACACTGCCGAGAAGCCCTACAGCTGCTTGGTGTGTGGCAAGCGCTTCAGTCGGAGGGCCTACGTCTCGTTGCATGAGAGAACTCACACAGGGGAGAAGCCATTCAAGTGCTTGGAGTGCGGAAAGAGCTTCAATCGAAGGGAGTACCTCACTTCCCATCAGAAAACGCACCGAGAAACCTCTTCAGAAGAGGAGGACTCTGATTCCTCAGATGAAGCCTCCTCTGCAGAAGATCCGCAGCCGCCTGAGGGATCCTGCGGGAGGCGTGCTGCCTCCGAGGGCATGGCCAGCCCCTTGCAGCCCACCCTGAGGCCAGCTGTAGTTCCAGAGTCTCCTGCTCCCACCACCCAAGGGGACCAGTGGCAGTGTATCCGGTGGGATGCTCAGAGCCACGGTAACACAACCCACCTGACTCCCAGAACCCCCTTTTGCCCGAGGGATGCTGATGAGGAGGCATCTGCGCCAGAGCAAGGAGCTCCTCTTGAGGGGGAGGGCCCAGCTGTGGCTCCTCCTCCTCAAGCCAATACTGAACCACAGCCGACGCTCGGTCCCCCGCAGAACACTCCTTGGTTAACGGCTCCCATTGACTTGTTGGACTCTAATGACGGGCTCAAGACAGAAGCAACTCTTTAGGTGCCTGGAGGATGCAAGTCCCTCCGCCTGCCGCAGAGCTCGCACCTGAATCCACATCCAAGGGGCTTCACAACCCAAATGGTATAAATGGGGTGATTGTTCGTTACCTGCTGTCAAGTCTTCTCTGACTTAGGGTGACCCAGTGAATGGCTGCCCTCCGAAATTCCTGTGCTTGGCAGCCCTGCTCAGCTTTGTCAACTGGAGGCTGCAGCTTCCATCATGGAACTGATGCATCTCATATTCGGTCTTCCTCTTTTTCTACCGTTGGCTTTCCCCAGCATGATTGTCTTCTCCAGGGAGTCTTGCCTTCCCATCATGTACCAGAGTGGGACAGCCTCAGTTTCATCCTTTTTGCTTCTAGGAAAACCTCTGGCTTGATCTGATTGAGAACTCAGAGCTCTTCTGCAGCACCATGTTGTCAACCACCCATTTTCTTTCTGTCGGCTTCCTTCTCTGTTTAGCATCATAGCAAATTAACTATGTAAGGGACGGCCAGTAGGAAAGCTCATAGTGCAGTGGCTATTCTCATATAATAAGCCTGAACAGTCTCCGGAGAATTAACTTTGGGAAAAAGCCCAAGAAATGTTCTGCATATAATTTGGAGTAGATCAAAAGTTACATAGATGCTCGCATGCACAGATTTGTGTCTCAGACATGCATGCAGGGACTGGATTATGTTTTACTAGGTATAAATCTTACTTCAAATGGAGTAGTGTATAAGGGAGAAATCATGGAAACACATAGAATATAATGGGGGCACAGCTGGAGAATGAATGGACAGCAGAGAGTGCATATTAGAGAAAATGAAATGTGAGAAAAAAAACTTCTTGAAGGAACTAATTAATTCATAACTCAGAGAATTGCATGTTTTGCAGTAAAGGCTTCCAAACTTAGGAGAAGACATGTAGAATCCATCTTGGTTAACTGTGGTGGTAATTCTGACCCTCATGGACATAAAAGTACATCTTGGCACGTACTTCAGTTTTTTTTAAATATTACTGCTTTTGGGATCTTTTTATAAAATTCTATTTCTTAGACTTGCTTAGTGAAACTCAAATATTAAAAGCTGTCCTCTGTCCAATTTTTGTGGCACATTAAAATGTACTATATTTTGTTCTCTTTGAGTATGGTGTGGATCCATGTTTATTTTTATGTATATATTATTACATTTATGCCATGCCTATTTTCCTCACTCTTTTCTTATCACAACAACACTCTGAAGTAGGCTGTGCTGAGAGCCAGTGGCTGGCTCAAATTCACCTGGTGAGCTACCTATCTGAGAGGGGATGAAAACCCAGATTTCTGAGTCCATTGTTCTAATCTCAGCACCACACTGGCTCTCTTGCTGTTTTTACCTTGTTCTCTTTGATATGGTCTTTGGACTAATTCAATAAAACCTATCGTGCGCAGCATAAGAGGAACTGTATGAATGTCTGCTGTGTGAAAAGAACTTGGAAAGACGATTTATCAGCCATTCTGGTGATTAGAATTGTTCTGTTAGGGGTTTTCATCTGGTTTTAATCAACTCCATCCTCTCCTTTAATATAAGACCTTATAGAAACATAGAAACAGAGCGAGTCAGAAGGGGTCTCCAAGCCTATCTAGTCTGACCCCCGTCTCCAGCTGCCTCCGCTTATGACATGTCCACCCTGTGCATGCCCAGCCTATCCTCCAACACCCTCACCGATGGGGCCTCAACGACCTCCCGTGGAAGCCCATTCCACGCCCTCGGGGTCCTGACTGTCAGGAAGTGCTTCTGGGCATCCAAACGGAACCTTGGCTCCCTGAGCTTTGCTCCGTCAGAGCGTGTCCTGCCTTCCTCTGCAGGGGAGAACAGGTCTCGGCCCACCTCCGTGTGACACCCCCTCACATACCTGTATGTCGCCAACAGATCCCCTCTGAGTCTCCTCTTCTCCAGGCTGAAGAGACCCAGTTCCCTCAGTCTCGCCTCATGCGGCTTCCCCTGCAACCCGGCCACCAACCTTGTGGCCCTGCGCTGCACTGACTCCTACCTGGCTATATCCTTTCTGTGATGAGGGGCCCAAAACTGAGCACAATACTTGGGGGCAGGCAGGGGGCCTTTGTGACCTCACGGCGCGGCTCGGCCAATGGCAGGCGAGGGCCGGCTCCCTGGCAACGGCCGCTCCAACGGAAAACCGGCGGCAGCGGCCGAGGCGAGCGCCCAGCACCGGCCCGAGCAGGGCGAGGCGCCGCCAGGGCCCCCGGGAGGCTGGAGGCTGCGGCCGCTGCGCGGGGCCAGAGCTGCCCGAGGGGGGCCGAGCCGCGGTGGCAGCGAGGGGTGCTCCGCGTCGGGGGTCTGAGAAGAGCCAGTCCAAAGCCAGAAGCGGTAGCGCGTTACAGGCCGGGGGGGCGGGGAGGGGAGTCCCTGTCCCCCGTTC